AGATAGATCGAAGGATTGTCGAAATATTTGAATAATAGAACGGGGAAAGAGGTACGTTATCTTGTTAATTTTTGTATTCATATACCGAAACGTGTACAATCAAAGGTAGTTTTGTTTCGCTTAGGATTTTTGTGTTGTTTCGATTAGTCCGTATACACGCCCCGCGTGTTCGAGTTTAGGACATTTCGATTAGCGTACATTGTATGGTAATGACCTATTTTAATTAATTGTATTTCAGTTTTTGCGAGCTTTCAAGTTTGATAAACGAATTGAGATTCAATAAACGCTAGGAGGTTCCGTCAATATAAAACATTTCTCCGATGCGACGCTGTTAGATTCGATTGATGTCAGTGTCTGCCCCAATATAAATGTCTTCGTCACCCAAACATTTTTCCCTTTACCTTTATTTCCTTGAGGCTCTTTTCAGTTGCAAACGAATCTGTGGTCATCTAAGAACAAAAGACAAACGTATAATTTAGCTTTGCGGCAACGAAACCTCCGCAGCGTCGCTAGCCGAGAGAGGCTAAAGGTTTTATTCATTCCACCAATAACACTAATTTTCTTCCATGCAGTTTTTCGATGACAAAAGTTACCTTTATGAGACGAGAGAATAACAGTCCTCCAGCATAACGGGTGTACAGCTCGTCCCAATTGTCTTCGACAAACCGCCACGCGAGTTCACGCCCTGCTAAACTAAAAAAATGAAAACAAACAAAAGAAATACAAGGAAAATTTGTATATCTGGATTTTTGTTTCGTTATTTTGTTTTGTTGTCTTTATGTTTGTTTGTCTGACTGTTTTTTTTTGTTTGTTTGTCTGACTGTTTTTTTTTGTTTGTTTGTTTTTTTTTTTGAAGCGCTTTAACGCGTTTTAACTGTTCTCGGACTGCACAGTCCGAGACCAGTAACGGACATTCACGCATCGGAAAACTTAAAAATGAAAAAGTCCGGGTTTCAATCAAGAAATGCGGAAACATTCAAGGAAGGAGTACCCAGATTAATCTTGAAATGGGACTAAAATATAGGGGCGATATTCGCTTCCAGATTTAACTATTTCGTCTTCTTAAAGACAGGTTAATTCAACTCTTTTCACCACAGTACAATAAGGCAGCGGCAGCAGTACGGGAAACGCTCGATGGCACAGTAGGTTTCCCGGTATAATCTGTTTTCTGCATTATACCGTTCATAACCATTACCACGAAATAACTGGTAAATAACTCATCTGTTTCCACTCGTTAATATCCTTCCTTTCAGAGAGTTCATTATTTTGTTGGGACACTTAAGCGGCTTGGCCAGTTTTCGAGTGCCTCACCCAAGGGCTAGGCAATACAAACAAGCCAGCATTGAAATTGAAACCGATTTATGATACAAAGTGCTAAATCTTGAGTCACATAGACAGATCTCTTTGCTACCTACCTAATGCTTACCTGCCGGTTACACCAGCGATAACGTAAACAGTATCCTGTGACCGAACATCACTCTGAAAAGAGCGCAGTAGGAAACAAAATAATTGTTAACAACGAGAAAAAACGAGTTAACTTTACAGGTTAACCATTAATTCAGGCGTTGGTAGGAACGAAATTATCGAGTACACAGGCTAACCATGAATTCGAGCGTTGCTGTCACCCAGTGACAGTTGGCAACTTTTATCTTAAGATTAGCTCGTAAATTTCCTCGTCATATTCGAGCTCTTATTGCTTGGGCTCTTAACCTTTTACACGCTAATATTAGAATTCATATTCTCCACACTGTTCTGTTTATATTTCCTATAGCAATAGTAAGGAGAATTTTTGTCAGAATCGGGTGCTCCCCTAATAAGTGATCATGTCTATTATTCTCGTTACCTTTTCATTTGATTCAAAAGTGATACTGTAAGGAGAAATTAGACATCAGTCATGGTTTTGTCGGCCATTTGAACATTCCTTGAGCAAACAGTGTTTGATTTCAGTGATTTGCTTGTTTGTTTCTTTTCGATTACTTGTTTTCTTGTTTATTAGTTTGTTTTTGCCAAGAATAGTGGACACCTTTGTAACAGGGAGCACTAACCAACACAACCCAAGAGGATTTCTCTTGTGTCAGTGTAATTATTACAAAAAGGTTCAAGTATCGAGGAACAATTTGCACGTTGCCAAAAGAATAAAACCTCTCCCATTATTGAAGGCGTCAAGCTTTTGAACCCAAACGGACGCACAAACTACAAGACTCACAGACATTGAGAACTCCAAGACTTTCTTGATCAAATCAGGTTGTGATACAGCTCCCATACATCTCATTAGTCGGACTTTCTCTTCATGCAGATCAGCTTCTTTAAACAGTTTCATCACAGACTC